GGATATAAATTTTGACTTGGTGGACTTTTACAATCAAGATAGGTAAAGCAAAAAGAATACAAATTAGTTTGCTAGTCAGCTCAGACTGTGATAACAAAATACCACACTGAGTGGCTTAAATAACAGAAATTTACTTTTCACAGTTCTGGAGGGTGAGAAATCTAAAATCAAGGTACTGATTAATTCAGTTCCAAGGTAAAGCCCCTCTTCCTGAATCACATATTCTCTTCTCTTTATGTCCTCACATGGCAGAGTCATTGAATGGAAAATGGAAGCGAGTCTACTGGTGTCCCTGGAAAGCACTAATCTTATTATGAGGTCAATAATCCAACAGCTGTCAATCAAGATGTTTCTGAGAAATACATCACCACGTAAGTGTAGGGCAAAAGAAAAATCCCATCCCAATTTGCCAGAATAAATACAATATTTATACAAAATATTATTCTGAGGCATTATATTAAAAAGTACAATGATTATAACATCATTTATTTATCTTTTTTAAGATAGACAATTTTGAAAAATGAGACTTAAGTTGTTGAGTAATTGGAGACCTGGCATTGGGAATGTGGTTGTAGAGGATGGAACTAAATATTTATAAAAAGTCCTCTTAATAGGAGGAATTGGAGTTGAAATTGTTCTTTCAGGGAACCAGAAACACAGGTATGATTATTATTGCATTTTTCTGCTCTTTATTTCAATCTTAATTTAAGAAACTCTAAGACCAGAAATGATTTTTTTTCTTTCAAAAAATAATTTTTGGATTCAGGGTTTCTTAAACACAAAGTACAATTACTCCCCTAAAATTTTTAAATTTGGGGAGCTTTTAATTTTTTACTTATAAATTCAGTATTATGAGGGAATTCTTTTTTCCTTTCTTGAGGAAGAATACCTAAAGGGACAATGATGAATATGATGTCAGGAAAAGAATGAGCCATGTCCTTTGACACTTCCATGCAACAAGCAAGAATTTTACTGTTTGGAACCTCTGATTTCTTTCTTCTCTCTTGAGACATGGTCTCCCTATGTTGCCCAGGACGGCCTCAAGCTTTTGATCCCACTACCTCAGTCTCCCAAGTAGCCATCAGACCTATATGGCACCATACCTATGACACCCATTCTTAACAGGAAGTACAAGAGAAATAAGACAAATACCCTGAGAGGGACAGGAGATGGGGGAATTCTCAGACCCTAATGGATGACCTGTTACCCACTGAAGGTGAAGATGAGTCTTTTTCCTTTTCCTAGCTTGCTAAAAATGTATGGAATGCACCTTTCCTTTATCATTGCAAGGACCAGGTACAGGGGAGGATGTCTCCAAGGATAAAAATAGCCACTAATCCATACATTAGGCTAGGAGATTCCCTAAAATATGAGAAAAAAATCTCCCAAAACTGCCAATAAAGTTTCCTGCCCCTAGTCCACCTCAATGGAGATGTGTTAGTCTGATTCTTTTGTAAATGGACCAGTTTGATCCAGTTTGATCTCTGCCTGACCTGTGCCTTTAGCTTTTCTTCCCCTCAAGCTGAAATTCTTTCCCCATTTTTTCTTCTCTATTAAAGTTTTACCTGCTGATTCATAATTGCTTCAGTTTTATCCATTATCTCTAAAGCAAGTTCCTGTATCATATCCTATATTATATTCTGTATCACAAGTATCTTATTTTTTCTAATTAAAACTTAATATATTTTTCCGTTTTTCTATTCTTAAAAGGAAGCACAAATGTCTAACTTACTTTTTTACTAATTAAGACCTCATTTTTTTGTACTTTCTTCTTTTTCTTTTTGGTACCAGGGATTGAACTCGGGACCTTGCACTTGCGAGGCAGGCGCTGGAACCACTGAGCTAAATCCCCAGCCCTGTACTTTCTTCTTTTAAGGTCCTATTATAGATCACACTTTTACATATTATTCCATAATTTTTGCTTGAGATTTTTAAAAATTTTCATATACATGTTATATTATTTGCCCGATGATATTTTTATACATTGGTCACTAACAAATTATCATCGTAAGGAGACACATTTTGTGCTATGATCTTTAGAAATACATATGTTCATTTACATGTCTTGAGATGTATTCTAAGTAAATGTAAGTAAATACAAGACTATGAACATTGATCATTTTAGTCACTGTTGTCTCAAATCCTTTCAATTTAGAAATTAAATTGTATGTTCTGTTTATGAAGATTAGTGGAATTTCCCTAACCACAGGTGATTATTCCCTGCTGTCTAAGCATTCATGTTCATGAGTTACTGATAGCATTTTGTTGGATTCTTTTTTTTTTCTCCTTTCCCCTTGTTTTTAATTCCCTTTTCTTTCTTTAATAAATAGTTATATATGCTAGCTGCCTGACTCAAAGTAGTAATATGAATGTATTCTGCCTTTATTAATCACTGTTAGAATTTATCAAATGGACTCACAATTTTACTAAATCTTCTTCAGCTCAGTCAGGTATTGTCATAACAATTTTCATTTTTTCATTGATTTATCAAGACAGAGTATATTTAACATTGAGCAGTGTTGCACATTTTCTTCTCCCTCTGGGCTCTCTTTCTGAAGATGACCATGAATAAATGTCCATGGATGTGGCAGTGAGGTACAAAAAGAGTAGTTTATTAAAAAGAACGAAGAAAAGCTTTCCAGAGTGGCTCCAAAGGAAGATGGCCTGGAGACCCCTAAATCCAGTTGTTTATATGCAGACTTTGTCCCCCAAATGAAACAATGAAACAAAGAAATGTGGTTGCTTTTTTTTTTTCCTAGCAAGCCCTCTGACGTCAGAGTGGGGGAGACTTCCCTTGCACTCCAACTTCCGAGTTTATCTCAGTTTACTCCAGCCCTTGCCTGAACTGCCTATTGTTTTTCTATCTCCTGGTCTCAGTAGGGTGGACAGAGGACAACATGGAAGATTTCCCATTCAACCAGGGTTAATAGAAAACTCATTAGGATTCATTACAGCACTTAGAAAACTTTAGAAGATATTCTACAAAGGGAAGAGAACAACTTTAATCCAGGAAGCAGTAAAAAGAAAATGCACAACTAGTAGACCTAGAAATGTGGAGTTAGACAGTGGAGCAAACAAAAAATAACACATTAGTACTGACTGCATGATATTCAGGGGGTGACTTACTCTTCTACAATGCCACATTTTTTTTAGTTAATGAGGAGTATCTATTCAGTTATTTCACAAATCTCTAAAATTCGACAGTCTAAATCAGAGAGCTAAACACCTTTTCTTCCTCATCACTGTTTTCTTCACTGTCTATATGCACCTTGATTCAGTAGTTTATAAAAAAGTCTGCACCAAAGTTTCCAGTCTAATTTTAATGAAAACTAAGGATGTGTTTCATAAAGCTGAATGTACATTTCTTGAAACTCCGAAATTACATCTTTGCTACTAATTTCATGAAATGATTTTAACAGTTGAGGTAGATTTTGTGTTTGTGGTATCTTACAATTTTACCTGGCAAAATATAAGTACACAAAATTGAATAACTTTTTTCTACTTTATTATTTGTATTGTTCAATGAAACCCCAAATCTTTGAACTAGGATTCTCATATGCTTTTCTTGTACATTTATTTGCTTTGGTGGCTTGGAGAGTTCATAAACCTAAGAATTACCTAGGACCTTGCTTAAAAATGTAGATTCTTTTATTTTTTCAGGTATGGGTGATTGAACTCAGGACCTTGCACTTGCCAGACAGGCATGGCGTGGCCACTGAGCTACATTCCCTGCCCCCGTATCCCCCACCCCCTGAAAATGTAATTCTTGACCTCTCTCCACCAAGAGACTCTGATATTAATATCTAATCCACAATTTATTTTGCAATAACCAATGTACTCTGTAAATTGAAATCCTCAGCAATGAGAAATATATTTGATTCCATGAGTTATAGTTACTTGTCCACAGAAATTCTGGAACACACTGAAATTCAGTTTCTTGACGAACGGGGTCACATCTTGTTCCTTAGGTTTGGGGGACTTGACTGAGCCAATCAACTGATTACAACCAACTAATTTCCAGACTTCAAAACAATCTTCAAAGTAGATTCCTGTCTATCCACAAATTGGGAATTGCATATATTATTGCCATTGCTACCTGTTCTCCCTTGAGCATCTTACAACAGGTAATCATTCCACTTCTGGTAAATGTTTTATTAAGCATAGGGGTAGGTTAAACTGCTGGGGTTTAAATGAAATAATTACAGCTTTGGAATTTGCCCCACAGCTTTGTTCCAGAAGTTACCATATTATTAGTGAGACCAGGAGATGGACAATGGGCAGTGCCTAGCAAAAGCTGAGTAAATCATGAAGCAGTAGTGAAAATGAGTCCTGGCCTCTAGACATCAAGAGGTCTAAAAAATGACAACCACCTAGCTTCAAAGGACAAGGGCTAGGGTAAACTGTGATAAGCCTTGGGAAGTTGGGGTGCAAGGAGAGTCCGTCCTCCCCATGTCAGCGGCCTAGCTAAAAAGCTGCAACCGCACTGTTTCACTTTCACAGCCAAGTCTACATACAAACTCTTGAATTTAGACGGCTCTTAAGCATTATCTCTTGAAATTCTCTCCAAAAGCGAGAGCTTTTAATAAAACTCCATTTTGTGCGTTCCCCACTTCTGTGTCCCTGGACCTTTCTTCTTCCTCATCTTCTGGGCAAGTGCCCAGAGGGAGGAGAAAATGGGTGACAGCAGTAGCAGCAGTAGTAGTAGTTCGGAGGATGTCATGTGCGGAGCAAAGTAACCATGCGATGGAGCCAGGCGAGGCCAGCTTGATGTCGCAGTGCCCAGGCTAGCACTGAAGCGCCTGAGTCACCTCAGCTGGGGACGGCAGCGTTGCGCTCCCCCGGGATACTGAGTGTGAGCCAGGCCCAGAGAGGAGAGGCCCAGGGGCAGCTCCACCACTGGAGACAGGACACGCCTCAGCCCGGGCAAACTCCCAGCCTCTTCTGGCCTCAAGCCATCAGCCGCCGCCCGCCACCTCTTTCACTCCGCCGCCGCCCGGCCGGTCGCAGGCCCAATACTCGCCCGCGCGCGGCCCCTCTGTCCTCGGCGCCGGGGCGCGGCGGGGCCAGGACCGATGTGGCGCATGCGTGGTGGCGCCGCCGGGCGCGGGAGCTGCTGCGGCGTGGACAGCCGCGGGCTAGGCCGCCCGGGCCGCGTGAGCGAGGGCGGCGGCGTGGGCTGGCAAGGCCGCGCGGGCGGCGCCCGACAGCAGTTGGAGGAGCGGTTCGCCGACTTGGCCGCGAGCCACCTGGAGGCCCTGCGCGCGCGGGAGGAGCGGGACCGGCAGAACGCGCGGCTGCGCTCAGAGAACGCGCGACTGCGGCTCGAGAACCGGCGGCTGAAGCGCGAGAACCGCAGCCTCTTCCGCCAGGCTCTGCGGCTCCCGGGGGACGCCGGCGACCAGGCGACCGCGGAGGCGGCGCTGAGCCTGGAGGAGGCCGCCCCGAACCGGAGGGCGAGAGGCGGAGGCCGGGAGGACGATCCTGGCAGCCCCAGCGCCCTGAGAGCCCGGCTGGAGAAGCTGGAGGCCATGTATCGCAGGGCCCTGCTGCAGCTGCGCCTCGAGCAGCAAAGCACGCGCCCGCGGACGGAGAAGGAGGAGCCGCCTCTGCGCGACCCGAAGACCCCCGGACCCTGGCTGTAGCCCGAGGCCACGATAGGGGGCGGGGCTACCTCGAGCCCCGCCCCTTTCCTGGAACCCGGATCGCCCCTGGCTGGGTGGCGGTACAGAGAGCGCAGGCTCCATGTACCCAGTGCGCCTGTCTCGGCCTGCTGGCTGGCTCCTCTCTGAGTCCCAGGTATGGGCGGACTGGTGTTAAAGCCCGAGAATCCGATCAGCGCTTCCTGATACTTGAACGTTGCTGATTGTTGTCAGGACCTGTGGTATCCCCCCCCCCCTCAATTTTGATTCTTTGAGGGCTGAATAATACATTTTGAGTTTGTTGTTCATTCTTCAGTTCTCTAAAGTCTCCTTTATCTGTTCTGTTGTCAGCATTAAAAGTATTTGTTTTTATAACTCGGTATTATTTGGCTATTCAATGAAGTATCAACCTTTTTAATAAAAAAGATATTTATAACTTAGCAACTCGTTTGTCCTTGGGTCCAGTCCGCTTACATCTAATATATACTGATTTGTTTGCCCATAGACAGTTTTTAAAGTGTCTGCCCACAGGTGATTCTCTGAATTGGCAAATAAATCTAGTACATTGAAGGAATCTAAAAGCTTCCCATGACTATTATTTGAAGTGTTAAATTTTTATGTTTCTGGTTACATAGACTTAGGCTGTCCTCTGTAAGATGTAATTTTTTTCTGCTCTTAACAGCGATCTTTTGAAATAACCTAAAAATTATATAGTACAAACCTCGTTTTATTACATTTTAGGTTAACATTAGAGCATAATCAGTGCACAGCTGATTTGCCCTATTTTAAGAACTTTTAAGGAATTATAACTTACTTGTATTTCAAATTCTCCAGAGTTTTTAAAGTTTGAAGTATGATTTTAGTGGCAGAAAAAATGACTAATTTTAACAAATGTTTTAAGATAACTTTTATTGCATGTTGTTACTAACAATTTTGCCTACTAAATAGTGAAGAGTATACTTTTGTGTCTGAAAAAAATTGTGGAGACAGAAAGGTATGATATTTTTCCCCACCCATCATAAAGGTCATAGCCAACACTCCTATAACAAAAGACAAGTTAACAAGGGAAAAGCATAATGGATTTATTTGATGAAAATTTTGCACAACAGCCTTTAGAAATTGACCAAAATACTCAGGAAAAACTTTATGTGTAGGTTGATTCAGTGGACAGCAATGTAGAAATGTGATTGGACAAAAATAGTATCACTTAATGGTAACACTGCAAATACCCAGTAAGATCTTTTGGTTTGATGTCTCTGGTCTTCTGTGTGAAATTCCTTCTGGCCCTAGGGCCAGATCCCTTCTTGGAATAAGGATCTTATGACAAACTATATAGGCAAAATATATATCAGGCAAAATAGGCCAAATTTCTTTTTGACCAGTCCTTAAAAAGACATGAGAGGGTCAGAACAATAATTCTATGTTTCATGGCTGCCTTTAAGGAGAAGGAGCTCTAGTTTCTATGGCCAGCCTTGAGGGGAAAGAGAATTGTAGTTTCTGTAGCCTGTGTGGCGGAAAGAGGCAAGCAGTTAGATACTTGTACAAAAAAAGATGCTAGGCAAACTTTTGTGATTCTTCTAGTTTGGAATTTTAAAATAACTTTTGTTTTGCTTATAGGTGATTGATAATCAGCAGTGAGTATTAAAATCTTTCCCTATAGCTAAATGGTATGAGAAGAAACTTGGTGAAATTAATATTAGAAAAGTTTATCTAGGATCTAGTTTGACCTAAAATGAACTAAATCTATTTTGTACCACATCTTACTGCATGACATTTTTTCATAATTTTATATCAGTTTTACAATAAAACGATTTACCATTATAAAAATAAGCAACAAAAATGTCTTCTTAGCAGATGAATTCAAAAATTGGGATTTTAATAGCATTTTTATAGCAGCTACTAAAAAATTGACTATCCTTTTCTCTACAAAAAGCAATATAAAATAAGTACTTATGTAAATCATAGAACAATTTGTCCTTGCTGAACTTAATGTATAAATGTTTGAAGAATACTTGAAAACATTTTGTCATGTTTATATATTCTTAGGCAAGTTTTTCCAATTTGTAGGAATTACCATGATGAAACAAACACCAAATTATTTAATAAGTTGAAATTAATATTATATGAATTAATAATATATACAAAAATGTTATCAACATGATATTTATTCCAGTGTCAGAAGACAATTTTCTACTATGTTATAAGGAAAATATTTTTACTGAAAAATTGTCACAAAATCTTTATGAATGGAAAAATATCTTTATATTTCATTTAGTGATGAATTATAAATTCCATATTTTGTATTATAATCTTACTTTTCATATATCAGTCTCATCTTTCAGTTAAAGACTATGCAAATATATTTATGCAATGGAAATATTAAAGATCAAGGAAAACATTGATTATATCCTCATCTGACTATAAGGATTTATCATTCTTAAGTTGTAAATTTTAAAGCCTAGGCTATGATTAGCAAATCCCAACATTCGTAATTAAATTACATTTTGTTTAGTCAGTAGCATATATTGCTTATTGTGAAACATATTAGAATCTACTTCACCTGAGAGTATAGTTTCTCTAGTTTGGATGTGGTTTGTCCCCCATAAGTCATATGCATAGAGAGTCTGCTCCTCAGTGTGATGGTATTATGAAGTGGTGGAAACTTTCAAAGGTGAGTCCTAGTGGAACATAGAGGACACATTAACCAGGGACTTTATGATCTTTTCTATTTTTTTCCTTAAAATGTCAAAAAGATACTCAGAACTAAAAACAAAAGATATATGCATATGTACATATACATGTGCATACAAAAGCATATGAATTTTAAAACCACAGTGCCCATTTTTACTGGTGTTAAAGTAAAATTGCAGGTATTAAAATAGCTGAAAAAGCATTAAATTATGAGAACAAACACTTTTGAAATTGTACAATTTTAGGGCCAGGGATGTAGCTCAGGGGCACAGCACCTGCCTGGCAAGCATGAGGCCCTGAATTTAATTCCCAGTACCATAAAAGTGAAAAAAAAAGAAACTATACAACTTTGAAATATAGAAATACAATTTAATTGCTCAATAGGTTGAAAACATTTTGACCTTTTTGGTTACATAAGCACTATTCTTGTTAGCATAAAATACAAGTTACTATTAAAGCAAGAAAATACAGCTATATTTTGTATAGGACATTCCTCCATGCATGAACTGTCTCTGAAAATTATGTGACATTAAGAATTTGTCTTTTAAGATCCTATTCTTACTATAGTAATACTATACTTAGTATAGTAATTCATATGGAAATTTAAATATATAACTGAAGGGGGAATGGTTTCTGTTCATTTTGTTTCTTTTATGCTAGAATTCTGCAATTTTAAAAATATTATTAATATACTACAAAAAAGGCTTTGATGTCTACACTTATCCTTTTAAATATGTAAATGTGTAGGGATTTTTGAATTCCTCAGGATGTACAACAAAAAAGTCTTAACTATACTGAATAATGAAGCTATAGTTTTTATCTGTTTACTTGTGATATCCTCAGAATTATGCTGTTAATTACAATTTCTCTAAATATACCCGATTTATTAGTGTTAACTTTATTTATTTTTTTTCTTTTTTGATACTGGGGATCGAACTCGGGTCCTTGAGTTTGCACAGCAGGCGATGAAACCACTGAGCTAAATCCCCGGCCAAAGAAGTGAACCTCCTTTTTCCTTTTTTGTTTTTGGGTACTGGGCATCGAACTTGGGTCCTTCCGCTTGTGAGGCAGGCGGCGGAACCACTGGGCTAAATCCCCGGCCCCCCTTAGTGTTAACTTTCACTGTGTTCCAAGATTAAATTTTCAGTTTCAAGAGCTTCATTGGCTGACAGCAGAATACAACCTTAATCTTATTATATTTATAATTTTTAAAATATTATTTTAAATAAATTATTAATTTTAATACTAGTTTCTATTCATATAATCTGCTATTTCTTCACATTTCTATGTATGTTCTTCAAAATCACATAGTTAGAAAAAAGACATGCTTAGAAAAAAGAATGAACATAATGCAGGAGAGTATAATACCTATTTTTTCCTTTTATTCTCCTATCTCCAAAAGAAAGAGCTCTGATCACTTTATTCCCTGTCATAGTTACTTGTCTCATTGTTGAGACAAAATACCTGACACCCAAATTTAAAGAAGGAAGGTTTATTTGGCTCACAGTTGGTAGAGGTTTGAGTTCATAATCCTGGGTCTAAGGCAGGGGAGCATGGCAGAAAGGCATCAAAGGAGAGAAACAGTTCATAGTGGCCAGAAGTTAGCAAACTAAGCAAGGGACAAGCCACAGGTAACAATAGCAGCTTCTTTCTGCTCTTTTTATATTCTGTCTAGGCTACCCAGTTTAGGCCCGGTGCCAAACCAATCAGTGGCCTGATTTAGTAATCACACAACCTTAATCCCAGCATCACACACTCTAGATCCAGCCACCTCTGAAAAAGCCCAATTTATGACTACATGAGGCTTTGGGGGAACATCTAGACACAAACCATAACATCCCCTGATATAGTCACAAATCTCATTCATGACGTTTCTACTCTCATGAACTAATTACCTCCCAAAAGCCTCACCTCCTCATACCATCATATTGAGATTAGGACTTGAATAAATGAGTTTTGAGAGCACCACAAAGAGTACATCACATAGGGAGATATTGAGAGATTAAATCTTCTTATTTCTCCAAAATATATTCGGTGAAGTGGTCTGTTTTTCCAGTCAGATACCAACATATATGCAATGTTTTTGCATTCTTTTTTTTTGGTACTGGGGATTGAACTCAGGTCCTTGTGCTTGCACAGCAGGCCCTTCATTCTTTTGCTTATATGGCTAAGCTAAGAAAATGTTAGAAGTTTTCTCATCAACTATCCATGAAAATCTATATCTCTTTGTCTTTAAACTTGCGTTATAAAATAACATTTGATAGTGTCCAGAACCACTATTTCTGTAAGCCATACTTGTTGTGCACACACAGTGTGTTACAGTTTGGATCACAGATGTTCCCCAAAGTCTGCATACATTCACAGGCAGGGCCTTTGGAAGGTGATTTGCATCACAAAGGTGATATAGCTGCCTCGCTGTTAGGAGACAGACTCTGGCAGGAAGAGGTGGGTCACTGGGAGTGTGACCTGAAGGGTTTATCTTCCTCCTGGCCTCT